TCCGGTTTATAATTTTCTTTTTTTTTTTAAAGTTAAAAAAAATCCAACACGAAACATTTTTAAACTTTTTATAAGTTCTACGAAAAAAAAGAAAACAAAGAAATTAGTTTTTAACTTTAACTAACTAAACTAACAGTTAATAACATTAATACTAATTCGTTTGTTTTCTTTTGTTTGTTATAACAAGCACCAGTTGGTTGTGATAAGTTTTTCACGGTCACCACGATAAATCATTTTCCAGGTTTCCAGTGTTTTTTTTTTTATTTCTTTTCTCATTTTTGGTTTTGCACAAAGTTTTTTTTTTTTGTTGTAATAATAATAATGATAATATGATATTGTGGTTTTTTTAATTTTAAACTTATTGTTTACGACAGTTTTTGATGTTGTTTTTAACGTCGGGAAAAAAAAATTTTTTAATATCCTTTTGTTAGTTAAAATAAAAAATTATTATTATTATTATCGTTACTACTTTATAAATGCACGAAGGTAAAGTTTTAACTAAGACTAATCAAGTCTTATTTATTTCGTGTTTTTATCAAAATTTTCAAAACGATTTGTGACGTAAGAGAGGAGTCGAAAAAGAAAAAGACTAAAATAAAAACAAATAAATAAATAATTACGAAAACGATAATGACTGTGATGACGTCACAAAAGAAAAACTCAAAAAATAATAATTGAAATTATTATTATGTAAAAAGGATAAGAGTTTTTATTATTGTTTTTTCAAGAGTCACTACCGTGATGACGTAATCAACTTAAACATTTTTTTTCGATTGTTTCTGAACGCGCACAAACTACCCAAATGAAATTTAAGAAGTTTTTTTTTTTTAAACGGAAACATATGCATTTAATACCTCTTTGGTTTTATAGTTGCCTGTGAATACTTATTTTATATAATTTTTTTTCTTTCTGTCTTCTTCTTTTCGTTTTATTTGTTTAAAAAAAATTTATAATCAATGAAAATGCTAATGATAAAAAGTAAAAAAAGAAAAAATCAAAGTGGTAGAAATTTTAAAATCTCGACGGCATAGTGAATTTTCATTCGAGGAACCAAAAAAAAAAAAAAAATTAATTAATTAATCTTACGGGAATTTCATTAAAAAAAAACTGGACCGAAAAAATAATTTTGCCTTTTCTTTTTTTCCTTTTTTTTTATCTTTTAATAATAATAATAATAATAATAATCTTTTGACACGGGTTAAAAATTTTAATAATAATAATAATACTATTAAAAATAAACCGAAATCCGTCTGAAAAAAAAAAAATTTACACTCACGCAGTCACACACACACACACACCCACGTAATTATTAAATTTTTTTTTTTTTTTTGTGGCAAATGAAAATTTAATTTTTTATTCCTTTTTTTTCTCTTATGAATTTTATTATTTCCGTTTCCCATAAATAAACTTAAATTATAGATTCATATATTTTTTTAAAATTTAATTTTAATAAAAAAAAAATCTTAAAAAAGAAAATTTTTTGTTTTCCTTTTGATGTTTATTTAAAAAAAAAAAAAATTATAGCGTGACGTAATAATAATAATAATAATAATTATTTATTTATTTATTCAAGTGAAAAATATGACAAAAGGATTTTCGTCATGATGACCAATTAGATTATAATTATTCCTTCGTCATTTTTTTTTTTTGTAATTAAATTATTTTCCTCCCCCTAATTTCAAAATATTTAAACGACCGTTAATCCGCCATATTTGATTTTTCCTTTTTTTTTGTCTCCTCAACCTTTTCACCATATCAATAAAATTTTCATTTGAAACAAAACAAAATAATAATAATAATTTTATCTTTATCGGATGTAAAGAATGAATGAAAGCAAAAAAAATTTAAAGTGTCGGGTTTGTAAAAAAAAAAAAAAAAAAAAAAAAAAAGGAAAAGAAAATAAATTGATTTAAAAAAAAAAACAAAATGGCCGAAATGGGGGGAAAAAAAATTCAGGTATTTTTAATAAAAATGAAAAAAATTATTAAAGGATCATTAAGTTAATTTTTTTTGTTTGCTGTCGGTGTGAGGAAAAGTTGTAGGAAAAAAAAAAAAACTTTTTAAAAAAAAAAAAATTATTGATGGTAGATTTTAAAAAATGATGATGATGATTTTTTTTCTTCTTCTTCTGTTGGTAAGGATGATGATGATGATAATAAAGGAAAAGAATCTTAATTTAAAAAGGTTTTTTTTAAAATTTATGTTGGAAAAGAGTAAAAAGTTAAAAAATCGTTTTTAAATTTATTAGGGAAATTTTTTTTTTTTTTTGGATTTTAAATTTTTAAATTGATAAAAAAAGGTTTGCTTGTAAAAGGGTAAACCTAAAAAGGTTTTCTTTCCCCACACATAATTAATTTTTTTTTTTTTTTATTCGTTGAAAGGAAACCTAAATAAAAAAAAGAAAATTATTTCACGTCGTGAGAAAATTACAAAAAAGTAAATTTTTTTTTATTCCAGGTAAAATCGCACCGTTGAGAGATAATTTTTTTTTTTAACACGATAACCTTGACAAATTCGAAATTATTCTATTCTCACCTTTTTATTATTATTATTATTATTGTTTTGTTTCTTTCGACCGAACTTTATTTTATCGTCTGCTATTTCGTTACAAAAATAAAATAAATTTTACCCTCCTAAAAAAAAAAAAAAAACGTCAAAATCATAATTTTCCGCCTTTGTCTTTTTCTTCCTTTTGTTTGTAAAACTAACGAAATTCGATTTTGATTGGTTAAATTTTCTACCAATGAAAAAAAAAGAAATTATTATTTTTTCTTTCGTATTTTGCGCGGGAAATTTAAAAAAATTCCATTTTTTTCCTCATTAAAAAAAAATTTTTTTTATTTTTCCTCATTGATTTTTATCTACTTAAAAACCTTTATTATTATCATCATCATCATTATTATTATTATTATTATCATTATTATTAATTGAAAACATTGTTTTTCAAATGTTCATTTTATCGATAAGAATTGAGTTTTTTTTTTTAAATTCTTTTTCAGTTTTTTTAAATTTAATTCTCATAAAAAAAAAGAAAAAATCGAAAAGGTTTTTAAAACCTTTCAAGGTTAAAAAAACCTTTCGAATCCTTCTTTTTTTTCCAATAATAAATATTCATGTAAATTTTTCAAAAGACTGAACAAAAAAAAAATGGCAAACGATTCGGAAGTGACGTAAGATGAATAAAAAAAAAAAACCGGAAACGAATATTTAAAAAAAAATTGTTAGATCGTGTATAAAAAACAACGTGACGGAAATAAAAAAATAATTTTTTTTCTTATGAATTTTTATTTTATCCGGAAGAAAATTTTATTATTATATATTATTAAAGAAAAAATTATTTCAAATAATAATTAATCGATAAATATATGTACATAAATTCTAAAAATTATTTTTCCCGTCTTGAAAAAAAGAAAGAGAGAAAAAAAAAATTTAAATATTTATTCTTGTATCCATACATAAATTCCGAAAAAATATTAAAAAATGGTATTATTATTATTATTATTATTATTATTATCGAACGATATTAATAATAATAATATATATTAAATATTATTTTATCCGAATAAATAAATAAATAAGTAATGTCACGTGTATAATTTTATTTATTTATATTTTTTATAACAAAAAGAAAAAAATTTTCCATATTAAAAATAAATTAATATCGATTATTACGTCACTTCCGCTTTTTATTTTATTTTATTTATTATTATTATTATTATTATCATCATCGAAGTCAAAAACAAAAAAAAAATTATTTTTTAATTTAATTTGTTAACAACATTAATAATAATAATAGCAGTAGTAGTAGATAGGAAATCGATTATTAAACACTCGGTTTTTTATATAAACGTCAATTATTATTATTATTATCATTATTATTCGTATCTCAACATAATGATCGAACGTATTTTCAGTTCGAATAAAAAAAAAATTCGAACGTTTTGAATTTTAATAAATTTTTTTTTTTTTTTTTTTTTTTTTTAAAATGTCAAAAACACGAATAAAAAAATTTTTTTTTTTTACGTTTTTTAATTTAAAATTATTTATGTGATAATAATATAAATTTTTAATAATACAAAAAAAACCGGAAGTTGTGAATTAAAAAAAAAAACCGTTATAATTAATCGTTCGGTTACTGAATGACGCTTAATAATAAAAATATGGATGGACATGTCGAATAATCAATAAAAATGGCGTTTAAATAAAAAAAAAAAAAAAATTTTTAAATATTTTAAATCGTTTGCAAAAAATAAAAATAAATTAATAACAAAACGATTGTTTGTTCCTGTTTGTTTGTTTGTTTGTTTTTATCCAATTTTTTTATTTATTTATTTAATCACGTTTTCATTGTTTTTGTGTTTTTAATTATCAGTTCACTTCGTACGATTCGAACCGGAAAAAAAAAAAATTTGATGCTGTGATGACGTCATGAGTGAAAAGATATTCTGAATTTTTTTTTTTTTCCCTCCCTCCATATTATTATTATCATCATCATCGCTATTTTTTTTTTTTATAATCCCTTTTAAATGGAATTAAATAACTAATAAAATTTTTCGTAATAGGGTCGTTAAAACAACAGGAAACTAAATAATTTTTACGTCGTCATCGTCGTCGTCGCAAATTTTAAATGAAATTCACTTCCGTCACGTGATTAAAAAAAAAAACGGGAAAATTTTCTTATTCTTTCGATAGAAATAAAAAGGAAAGAAAAATTTTTTTTTTGGGGGGGGGGGTCAATGATTAAATCGAATTGATCTTTGTGTTGGTCTTTTTCTTCCCTTCCTTTCCTCCCCCTCCCCCCTTCCCTACCCTTCCCCCTTTTCTTTCGTAATACCCAAAATCAATTTTCAACCGTCTTTTGTATCCGGATTATCATTAACATATTCAATTATTATTTTTTTTATCACGTCTGGATTGTTATTCAAACGTTTTTTTGAATTTTTTTAAGTAAATAAATAAATAAATAAATACATTTTCTATGTATAAATAAATAAGATAAGGGGTGAAATAAAATAAATTTTTTTTAGTTAATATTGTTATTAAATCTAACGACTTTTTTAAATTTTGACACGAAATTGAATTTAACGGTTTTTTTTTTTTAAGATTTTTAATTTTAGATAAAAATAACTTTATTTATTTATTTATTTTTTTTCCTCGTTAAATAATTTTTAATTATTCTTTTTTTTTCCCCGGTTATTAAAATTTTCCAAACAAAAAAAAAGTTTTCAAACGGTTCGCATAATAAATTTAACAAAATCGAAAAACTTTAATTAAAAAAAAAAAATTTTCCCGCCAAACTTTTTTTTTTTTTTATTGTGTTGACATCCTGGAAGTCCGAGTTACGGGGGGGGGGGGAAGGGAAATAGCAACGTTCGTTCGTCCTTTCGTTTTTTTCATTCGTTAAAATAAAAATTTTTTTATTTATTAGACAAAAAAATTTGTTTGTTTGTTTGTTTACCTTCCCTTGTCAAATTTCATTCACTTGAAAATTTCATTATTATTATTATTATTTTTGATAAGTGTTTGTTGTGCGTTTGTACAAAAAAATTTTTTTGTTGTCGATTTCATATTTAACTTATGTCCTTTTTATTAAATAAAATATTTATCAATATAACTAGAATTTTTTTTTTTGTATTTCAACTGTCGAAATTTTTTTGAAAAATCTCATCGTTTTGAAAAAGTACACGAAAAACAAACAAATGACGTTGACAACATAAACAAACAAACAAACAAACAAAGGGAAAAAAGAATTAAAAGTAAACTCACCGCACAGTAAATAAGTAGTTTTTTGATTACGATCTAATTCTTTTTGTGCTCTCCTTGGATTTTTTTGAGTTTTTGCATGAATGTTTAAAAATCTAGCTATTTTTGCATGGACGGTACCGACAACGAGGGGCGGTAATAAAGCCATTATTATCAATACGAGAGAAGCATATAAAACCCTGTAATTATGCGACGGCCATTGTTCAATGCAAACTTCGTACATGACACATTGATCGATAACAACCGGTTCGACAATCTGGAAAAAAATTGTATGTCCACAAATCATTCCTTTTATCGCAGGTTACGAATCAACAGAAGGAGAAGGGGGGCATACGTACCTGATAAAATAAAAGTGGCATGGCAACGACGGAACTTAAAAACCAAAGGCATGTTATTGAAAAAATCACGTTTTGTTTCGAATTTGTTAATTTGTTTGATTTTTTTTTACATATAGTAAAATAACGATCCAAAGCTATGACCGTTATCGTTCCAACTGATACCATTATGTTGGTAGCTTGTAAAAACGACACGAGTTTGCAAAGTACGGGTCCGAGAGTCCATTGACGTCTTAATATCATGACCAACGTGAAGGGCATGCATATCAAACAAAGTGATATGTCGGACACGGTGAGATTAACTATGTATAAATTTCTTGCCGTGTGCATTTGTTTTCTTCTTGCGACGACGAAACAAACGAGAAAATTCGTTATCAATCCTCCGATAATGAGAAAAGTGTAAATTGTTATCAATGCAGCTTCCGCTTGAGATGATAAATTTCTATCTTTTCCACTCGACCAAAATCCCTGAAGAATTTTAGCAAAATGCTCTTCAGAAAAATTGAACAAGTGAGAATGATTTGCTGGCGTCACGTTATTTTCCAAACCGAAATTATTTGATCTTAAAAAAAGATTGTTTATATCGTCCGGACTTAAATTCATGCAATTTTCCGGCATTTTTCCTTTTTTTTCCTTTTATCGGGTCGAAAACCTTGACCTTGTCAAGGATCACTCTTATCACCTGAAACACAAAAAAAAAATTAATTTTTTTTTAAAAGTAACGGTCAAAATTTTATCGTTACAACATCGATAAAGTTATAAACTTTAATAATAATAATAATAATAAATTTATTTCGTAACGTTTTTTTTTTTTCACTTCCGTTTTTTCACACGTATTTCGTGCATGTCGCGTGTATATTTAACTAATGAAAAATTTGTAATGAACAAAAAAAAAGCGTTAAAAAAGCTGCTGTGGCTGCTGCCGCCACCACCACCGCCATTTTTATTACTCTTTCGTTGTTTGCAAACACGAAAAAAATTTTTTTCCCTCCTAAATCAATCAAATTAAAATTAAAAAAAAACATTAAATAATAATAATAATTTCTTTTTAACTTGAGTAATTTTATTATTATGGTTAATTTAAAGTAATTTTTTCCTTTTTCCGCCATATTGAAAAATAAATTATTGAGGTGAATTATTAATTTTTTTTTTTCTATATTATTATTTATAATTTGCATTAAAAGAAAAAAGGTAATAAATAAATAATACCACTCCGTTTTAATACGTAATTTTTTTTGAGTTTGCGTGTTTTTTTTTTTCATTTTCGATTAAATAGATTAAATAATAATAATAATAATAATAAATAAATAAATAAATTATGTAAAGTTTTTTAATAAAAACTTTGACAATTTTTTTTCTATGTACGATTAAAATTAAATGTAACGAATATTTAATTTAATTTTATAATAATAATAATTTATGATGACCTTTTGGCCCGGTTCGAATTAGAAAATATTACTATTATTATTATTATTATTATTATTATTATTATTATTATTATTATTAATTATCACAGAGGATTTATCGATCGAGAGTTAAAAACTTTATCGAAAATAAAAAAAAATTTTCCTATTTTTTTTTTTTTTACTGAAAGTTAGGCGGTTCGAGTTTCTTCCCTCGTCCCCCCTTTTCTCTTTTAAATTTTCCCGCCAAAAAAAATTCATTTTAAATAAATATATATATATATCGATTGTGTCAAATGCAAATTGTGTGTGTTTCACGCTTTATTGACGCCATTAAAGGTTTCAAAAAAAAAATAAAATAAAAAATAAAATAAAATGAAAATGTTTTTAATAAATTAAAGTAATAAACACATTTTTATATTGAATATAAAATGAAATGTATTAAAAAAAATAAATAAATAAGTAAATAAATTTTTATTTATTTGTGTGTGTGTGTGTGTGTGAGGGGAAGGAAGGAGACGGGAGGGGGGGGGCAAACGTCGGGAAGAAAATAAATAAATAAATAAAAACAAATTCGTGAAAAGTCACGTAACAAATGATGTAATCTTTCTTTATATCGAAAATTTCAAAAGTCAAAGAAAAAAAAGAAAGAAAGAATAATAAACGATTTGAAAAATTTCCGCCAAAATAAAAAAAAAAAAATTTTAAATCAACAAATGTCAAAAAAAGAAATAGAGAGAGAAAGAGAGTGAGAGAGTGAGAAAGAAAAAGATTCGTTTCCGCTTTTTGGTTTTATCAAAAGAAAAAAAAAAAAAATTTAATGAGGGAAATAACGAAAAACGAATGATGATGACGCGCGTGAAAAAAAAACCGTTTTAAACTTATATATTATATTATATTATTTTTATATTATATATTATAGTTTAATATATATATAAACTAAAGTGTCTTCTCAATTAAAATTTGTAACATCAATCATGAATTTTTGAAAAATTTTTTATTACAAACTGACTTTTAAAATTACTTTCTAATTAAATTCTTTTTTTTCTCTTTCTCCCCTGACACATTTTCTCTCTCTCTTTTCCTCTTTCTTTATCTCTCTCTCTCTCTTTTTCTCTCTCTTTCCCTTTCCCTCTCTTTCACTCTATCTTCCTCTAGAGAGATTTTTCTCTTTATTTTTCTCTTTTCTCTCTCTCTCTCTTTCCCTTTTTCTCTATCTATCTCTCTCTCTCTCTCTCTCTCTCTCTCACTCTCTCTCTCTTTTCACATTAATTTGGGCAAGAGTTTTTAAAAAAATTAAAATTTTTTTCCCTTTTTTTTTACTTGAGAAAAAAAAACTTTTCACGAGACAATTTGTCGACAAAAATAAAAAAAATTTTCCGATTTTACAAATCAAAAAAAATGAAATTATTTTTAATGCGTATTATTATTATTATTATTTTCTAGAGTCTCATCGGGAAAATTTTTCTCAAAAATTTTTCCCCCTTTCCCTTTACCCATTTCACCCTGGGTTTTAGTCCTTCTTCTTCTTCTTCTTATATTAAAGTTTTTATTTTTCAGCCATTTTGTTTTTCCATGACGGGTTATTAATTAAACGTGTCAGCATTATCGCTTTTCTTTTTGGTTATTCCCTGTCATTTTTCTTTTTTAGTCTTCTTTCTCTCTCTCCTCCCCTCCCCCTAACCCCTCTACTTTTGTATGCGTAAAGAATGAACTTTATGCTGGAACATGCACTTTTTTTTGACGAACAAACTTTTCTTTTTTTTTTTTTTAGGTTGAACAGTTTCAATTTGAATTCCATAATTAATTTATAATAATTTTAATAAAGATAGAGAGAAAAGAGATAGATAGATAAATAGATAGAGAGAGAAAGAGAAGGAGAGAGAGAGAGACGAATGAATTATTACAAAAACATTTACAACAATATACATAATTTATTCTTTTGTTTCCTTTGACCTCATTTTGCACTTTTACAGAATTGAAAGACTTTAATGAAATCCCTTTCTGTCTCTCTCTCTCTCTCTCTTTCTCTTAAGAGAGAGAGACAAGACGAAATACTACAGACGTACTACTACTAAAAAATATGGAAAAAAATTTAAAATTCATGACAAAATAATGATAATAATAATAATAAATGAAAACACATGAAAATCCACTTCGGAAAAAATTCAAAACACAGCGAGCGAGCGGAAAATAAAAAAAAAATAATAAAAATAATAAGAATTGATGGAAATAATAAAGATGTTTGATGAAAAAAAAAAAAAAAATGGCGTCGTTTTTTTCTCTCTTTCTCTCTCTCCTCTTCCCTCCCCCTTCACCCGGTTTTTCCAATATTCGATAAAATTATACCATTTATACACGATGAGAATTTAATCAGTATCGAGAGAGAGAGATTATAAAAATAAAACTTACTATTACGAAATTACAATTGTTGTTTTAACGTGGCGGTAGAAAAACCAATTTTAAAAAAAGTAATAATAACAATACTAAAACCTATAAATATTTGAGAAGTGAATAAAAAACAAAATTATTTTCGATAATTAGAAATAGATTTAACGGGGAAAATTTTCTTTGTTTTCCCTCACTCACGTCGTTTCTAAAACCACGATAATAATTTTAAATAAATTAATTAATTTTATCCAAAAAAATTTTTTTCTTAACGTATGTTTAAACGTTAACTTTTACGAAAAAAAATTTTTCTCTTGGAGGAAGAAGGGGAAGAGGAAGGGGAGGAATGTGAAGGGATGTGAGAGGATGTAAGGGGAGGCATAAAAAAATAAGAAAAGTCAAGAAAAAAAAAAATAGTTTGACAGATTTTTCATTCAAAAAAAAAAAAAAGAAAAGAAAATCGGTAAAAAATTTTTTAGACATTTTAAAATCCGATAAAAGAAGAAAATTTATTTTATTTTATTTTATTTTCTCCATGAACGAAAATTTTATGTTATCAATTTTTTTCTTTTTTTGGGGAGCCAGGAAAAATATGTTTTTTACGTGATACGCAAATGTGTCATTTTGACACAAAACAGTACGAAATTTAAAAAAAATTTACAACTTATAAATTTTAACTAAACTTAAAAATCTTCGTTATTTACACGTTTTTCGTATAAATGGGGAGGCGGGGAGAAGGGTTCGATTAAAAAAAAAAAAATTATAAAATAAAATTTCAATTTAATTTTTCAATTTAATTTTTCCACATTTAATTTTTCCACATTTAATTTCCTTTCCGCAAATTATTTAAAATATTCATGACCGTCCGCCATTTTGTTTTTTTCTTTCTCCGTAACGGTTTTAAACCATCCTTGATTTAATTGTTAATCATTATAATCCTTTGATGTAAAAAAAAAAAAAAATTCTTATCGACCTTAAAACCTTTTTTTTTTTCTTTTTTTTTTTATGAAAATAAATTCCAATTAAAATAATAATAATAATAATAATAAAATTCCGCCATTTTGAATTTGAAAAAAAAAATATAAATTTTTTTTTTTTTTTTCTTCAACGTCATTAAATCTTTTACGGAGAGGAAAAAAAAGAAAAAATTTTTTTTTCCCGCAGACTAAAAAGTAATTATAAAATGGGTAATTTTTTTTATGACTTAGCAGAAGACATTTTATTTTATTTAAGAATTAATAAAAAATTATCAAACGTGTTATTATTATTATTATTGTTATTATTAACGAACCGTTAATATTGTTTTTAATTTAATCGTTTTAATTTTTTTTTTTTTGTTGGAAAATTTATGTAAAAATGGCAACAGCGGAAAAACCTGGTTTTAAACGAGTGGAAAATTTTTTTTTTTTCCACAATAAATTTGATTATGTGCGATAAGAAGAAATTTTTTGATTAAGGGTCAAGTACCTCGGGGTTAAATTTGACCTTTTTTTTTTTTACGATGAAACCAATAAAAAATTTCAAATGAATACATTAAAATAAATCGATCCATTATTTTTTTTTTTTAACGTTAACACGGTCGTAAATTATTATTATTATTATTATTATTATTTTGAAATATTATTATTTTTATTATGAAATTTTTACTAGCGAAAGGTTAGGAGCAAAGGGAAAGGGGGAAACGGGGGGAAGAGAATGATAAAAGGTAAGGATTTTTTTTTTTTTGAAAATTCGAATGAAATTACTGAAGTTCTTAAATGAAATAATTGACGGAAAATTTGGTTAGATTTGACGAGGAAAACGCGAAAAGAG